AAGTTTGTAGCCCACGTCCAACTCCGGGTAGGGTGGCAGAGCCCCGAGGGCCTGGTTGGCCTCATTATGTTCCAGCCCTGGAGTGGTGTGGCCCCTGGGGAGAGGCATGGGCTAGATATCTCTCCATGGAGCAGATGGGGAAAGAATTCCAAAGTTTCCAGGGAACAGATGAGTGGGAGAGTTTGTTACTCTACACTAAAGCCCTCCCTTGCTACTGAGCATGCTCAGTCCCTTTGCAGGGAGGGTAAACTTTCAAAGAACACACTGCTTCTGCTAGTTTTCCATGAGAAAGGGAAGGGAAGAAGCAGGGACATTGACAAGAGGGAAAATGTCATGCTTCCAGCTAGCTGGAAAGGACCACAGAACACAGAAGTCCAGGCTGGAAGGGAACTCGGAGATGGTTTAGTCCAGGTTCTGTGTTTCACAAACGAGACTGAGACGCTAGGGCGCCTAACTGGTAAGTCAGGGAGCCATCCTCAGAGGCCAAATCTAGGGTTCTTTCCACTCTGCTGCAGTGAATTGGCAGGAGCCTCGGAGTTCTAGCTTGACACACTGGAAACAGCCCTAGATTGAGAAGACCTGAGTCAGATCCCAACACATTGTTACTTTAGGCAAATTACTTTTTTTTTTTAATTGGGCCTCAGTTTCTCATCTTTAAAATGAGGGAGTTGAACTAATAATCTCTAGAGGTTTTTCCAAAGCTTAAGTACCATGATTTATTTTTTAAATAAGAAAATTGAGGTCCACGTTGGAGAATTGACATAATCAAGGTCACAAAATGATTAAGTGGTAGCCTCCTCTTTCCAGTACACTACATTAACTATACTACACCCAGAAAAAAAAAATCTTAGTGCATTTTTAAACTTACTAAAGCTTAAAACTGAACTGCACTATGGTTTTGGATATGTCCCACATATGCATATGTGTATGTATACATACACACATAGTAATATTTATTGCTACATATCCTAGATTTCCTAGGACAATCTCAATTTCATGAAAAGAACGCATACTTTGAATGAGACTTTGTAAAAAAGATTTTTGTTGTTGCTGTTGTTGACTTGTATGATTTGATTTTTGGCTCAGAAAAGGTGATCACTATGTTTCTATATAACTTATGAAATATGAAATGTAACATGTTATACGAGAGGTGGTATGTAGTAGCAGAAAGATCCCTCGACTAGAGAATCATGAAAGCAGGATATGATTCCCACTATTTACAGTGGAAAAAGCACTGAATTTGGAATCTGAAGGCTTGTATTTGAATCCTGGGTCTGCCACTTACTACCTGTGTGACCTTGAGTAAGTCCCTTAACTTTTCAGGGTTTTATTTTCCTGTATATCTGTAAAATGACTTTTTGCTTTTTGGTGAGACAATTGGGGTTAAGGGACTTGCCCAGGGTCACACAGCTAGTAAGTGTCAAGTGTCAGAGGCTGGATTTGAACTCAGGTCCTCCTGACTTCAGGGTCGGAGCTGACAAGCTGATTTCTAACATTTTCTTCCAGATTTAAATCTATAATCATATTGCATTTCAGAGGCAGTATGGTCTAATGAATAAGTAGCTGTCCTGTGAGCCTCTCTCCTCCACTGAAATTACTAATCTCCCTGACTTCTTTTAAGTCCCAACTAAAATCTCATCCATGGACAGCTAGGTGATGAAGTGCATAGAGTGCCTGGCATGGAGTCAGGAAGACTCATCTTCTTGAGTTCAAATCTGGCCTCAGACATTTCATTAACTGTGTAACCTCAGGCAAGTCACTTTAACCTTGCTTGCCTCAGTTTCCTTATCTGTAAAATTAGCTGGAGAAGGAAATGGAAAACCACTTCAGTATCTTTACCAAGAAAACCCCAAATAGGGTCACAGAGAATCGGACATAACTGAAACAACTGAAGAACAAAATCCCAGCTTCTACATGAAGCCTTCCCAACCCCCCCCCCAATTCCAGTGCCTTCCACTCTGTTAATTATTTCCTATTTATTTTATATAAATCTTGCTTTTCATACATTTGTGTGCATGTTGTCTTTCCCATTAGATTGTAAGCTCCTTGAGGGCAGCGACTGTCTTTTGCCTCTTTTTGTATCCCCAGCCCTTAGTACATAGGAAGCACTTAATAAATATTTATTGATTGAGCTAGGATGATCTGTGTTCAATGAGTGGGTGACCCTAAGCAAGTCAGCTAAACTTTTGGGAATCCAGGCAGCTGTCAAAGATTAGAGAAAGTGGCAGCCTAAATTGGTAGAGGACATTTTCTCATCTGAGTTCCTCATGCAAATGAAATCAGAGTTCCAAGTCAGATTCAAGTCCATTTGTGAGATCTGAAGAGAGTCACATAATCTCCTTGAGCCTCAGCCTCCTCCTTTGTAAAATGTGTATCCTATTTCCTACCCTGCCTTAGAAGGATCAAATGATAAAGAACTCAAAATGCCACTGCGCTAAACAGTAAGAAAATTAACTAATCCTACGAGGCAGTGAAAAGACAAATGCTGTAAAGGGTTGCAAACAAATGCAGCTACAGGGTTTCCTATCAATTTCAGGGGAATGATGATCTCTGATTTCCAGGTCCCTGTTTCTTTCATCACAGACAAAATGCATTCATAGAATCACAGCATCTCAGAATTGAAAAAAAATACCTCAGAAACCATCTAGTCCAGGTCTGGGGAACCTGCAGCCTCGAGGCCAGGTTCTAGGTCCTCAAGTGCAGCCTTTTGACTGAGCTCAAGTTGTACAGAACAAATCCTTTTATTAAGGGGATTTGTTCTGTGAAATTTGGATTCAGTCAAAGGGCTGCACTTGAGGACCTAGAGGACCACACGTGGCCTCAAGGCCAAAGGTTCCCCACCCCTGATCTAGTCCAATGCAGCACTGAGCAGGCGTCTCTGACAAGTGTTCATCTAGCTTCTATTTGAAGACCTCTAGTGATAGGAAAGACAAATAAGTAGAATGTCAGGGAGACTCATCTCTCTGAGTTCAAATCCAGCCTCAGAAACTTACTGGCTATTTGACCTGAGGCAAGTCACTTAACCTCAGTTTCCTCAGTTTCCTTATCTGTAAAATAAGCTAGAGAAAGAAATGGCAAACCACTCCAGTGTCTCTGCGAAGAAAACTCCAAATGGGGTCATGAAGAGGTAGACACAACTGAACAACAGCAGAGGATTACAATAGAAAATTCACAAATGGAGGCATCTCATTTCACTGATCATTTAATTCTCCTGATACCACACCTAATTGTGCATTTGTCCTTACCCCCATTATATTGTGTGTTCCTTGAGAACAGGCTTACCTTAGGTCACATCAGTCTTTGCATCCTCAGGATACCCCTCTGCATAGAAGACCAAGGATAGAGATAGTTACTGGACCTGTGATTTCAGTGATGTAGGGAACTCCCAGGTGAAGAAACCCCTTCTATCAACGCCGGACAGAATCTTCTCTTCCACTTAGAGGATTGTCTGGGAAATCGCAGCGGCAAGTGACTTGACCAGGGTTGCACAACCAGGATGTGTCTGAGGAGGGACTTGAACCCAGATCTTCTTGGCTCTTTAACTAGTCTGTCACACTGAAGAATAGGAATCTAAAAATTATTTGTGAATTTCCAGTTTCTCTGACTGGAGCAGAGGAAAAAAAAAACAAAAAACAAAAAACAAAAAAAAACAAACAAAAAAACAACCAATCTGGTGACAACTTAAATGTTGCTCCATTCCCTCTCCTACCCAAATTCCGACTCATCAGAAGGAAGGTGCTCTGGTCCCCAGCTCATGCATTTCATCCTCCTGAAGAGCCCAGATCCCCATATCAGACAAATAAGGGCCTATTGGACGGGACCTGTAACCTCCCCTATTGTCTCCTACTCCCTGTTGTCAATCTTTGATCATGACTAGGCAGGAGTTGGTCCTGGGTAGGTCAGAGATTTCCTTATACCAGCCCTCACTTTGTGGCCTGAAAATTGTCTTGTCAGTATGACAACCAGAGCCTGCCTAGAGGGCAGAGAAATCAGAAGAATTGATCAGTAATAGAAGTGGCCTAGAAATAGTAGGGAAAGTCCTAAATTTATGATCAGAAGATCTAGTTTCAAGTCCTATGTTCCCAAAATACTAGTTGTATTCCGTGTCTCTGGTCCTCAATTTCCTCCTCCGTGAAATGACAATTAGCCTACACAATCTCCAAGATTCTTTGTAGATCTCATTCTTATTCTCTTAGTCTTCTCTAGTATGAATTTAAAGGGAACGGAGAGATAAGAAGAAATCATCAAGAGGGAGATATTACCATCATCTGCTGCCACCAAATCCCACCAAGTTTATACTCCATCCTGCTCTCTCCAGTTCTGCCATCATCTAGAGCAGGGGAGGGGAATCTTCGGCCAGGAGGCCACATGTGGCCCTCTAGGTCCTCAAGTGTGGCCAGAGTACACCAGCCTTGAGGACCTAGAGGACTACATGTGACCTTGAGGCTGCAGGTGCCTAACCCCTGCTCTAGAGGCTACATTTCACACTTTACCTCTGACCATCTTCTTTCTATCCTACCTGTCAGACCCAGCTTCTCAGGTTCACTCTGCCCTGAGCCTCATGGTCATAGGATTTAGAGCTAGAGGAAACCTTAGGGATCCTCCAATTCAACTCCCTTGTTTTACAAAAAAGGAAACTGAGTCCCAGAGGGACAAAGTGATTTTTCGGAGGCCACACCAGTAGTAATTTGCAGAAACCCTTTCTAAAATCAAGGCCCCTTAATGCTAAGCCAAATACGCTTTCACACATGATTTGAATCTTAGATCCCGGTTTCTTTTAGCTCTGAGCCCTCCAAATTACTTCCAAATGCTTACAGAAAATACTTTTGGGAGTTGGAACTGGGCATGCTCAGTAGGACAGGATTTTGGTTACAAAAGGGTCTGCTATGTAGACAGTACTGACTCCTCCCTCTCCCAACCCAGAGGGAGGGAGAGAGGAGGTGGAGGGAGAGGGTTGGAGGATGAGTCAGACCCGAAAGTATGCTGGGGTCTGTGTGAGCAGAGGCACCGTTGTCCTCAGGCCTGGGGAGTGCCCTAGGACAGCTGTCCACTCTCCTCTTTTAGGCAAAGCTGCCCAGGGCTTTGAGAGTTCCAGGGAGTAAAGGCTGGAGGGAGGGGAACCAGACAGAGGTGGCCAATCCTGGCCTGGGCTCCTCCCTTTGTGCAAGGCTCGGTCAGGCGGGCTCCTCTCTGAAAAGTTGCAAACAAGTCCTCTTGTGCAGGAGGGGGAAGAACTGGAGAGAGGGAGAAGGAAGGAGGAGGGCGGTGATTGATTCTCCCTGGAAGTTCGCTCATGGCCCAAGCTGACCTGCTGCCGGGCACTTGCGTCCAGGACATCCAGTTGCAGTTCTGGACAGAGTCCCTGCAGGTGGTCCCTTCTCTCTTGGCTCCAGCAGTGACTCTGGGGGTGGCCTTGGGCATCAGCTGTGCAGTTTTGCTTTGTGTCTACGTGATCAAGCCTCTGCTCCAGAAAAAGGTAGGTCTTCCCCTCTAAGACAACTTGTAACAATTTTCCCATCTCCCGTCCCCTCCCCATTCGAACTGGTGATCATTCAAGCAGGGGCCACTCTCCCAGTAAGGAGACCCCTTCTACCAATGCAGATCTGTACCTTAGAGCTTCCTAGGGTTACTTGGGGCACATAACTTAACTGGCTTGCTTAGTCACATAACTAGTGTGCTTCAGAGACAGTGTTTGAACTGATGGCTTCCGGATTCATATTCCAGCCCTCTTTCCAACATACCATATTGTCTCAATTTTGGTAGTAATGTCAAAATGCCCTGGTATCAAGAAGGATTGAACAAAATATACTCTTGTTATATGTCCTAGACCTGGAGCACAAAGAAAATTAGATCTGGAAGGCACCTTTTATATGATTTAGTTCAAACCCCTCATTTTATTAATGAGATACTTGAAGTTAGCAGGTAATGGCATGTAATGGAAAGAACACTGATTTGGAGCCAAAGTACCTGAGTTCAAATCTAGATTCCTCTGCTTGTAACCTGTGTGACAGTAGGCAAAGTCCTAATGGATCATCCATTTGGACCTTTAAGGTACCTTAGAGATCATGATTTTTAGCCTCTTCGTTCTATGGGTATAGAAACTGAGTCCCAAGTCCTCTGGCTAAAAATCCAGTGCTCTATCTACTATACCTGACTGCCCTCCTCTCTCTAGGTTTCACTTTCCTCCTCTATAAAATGAAGACTATGGACCAGACAGATGATATCCTAAATTCTCTGCCAGCTCTGATAATAACTGGCTTTTATAGGTGTAGTTCTTTAAGATTGCAGAGCCTATTACATACTTCATCTCATTTGATCCTTTTAAGGACCCTGTGAAGTAAACACAGAGGTTTACCCCATTTTACAGATGAGGCAGCTGAGAGTTAGAGTAAGTTTCTTGCCCATAGGCATATCACAGGCAGGACTCAAGCTCACTTCTCCGCTAGCCCTGAGTTACACTACTCTATTCTAACTCCCAGCTCCTTTGAGCCCATCAAAGTGACTAGCTAACTTTTTTTTTTTTTGAGGCAGTTGGGGTTAAGTGACTTGCCCAGGGTCACACAGCTTTTAAGTGTCTGAGGCTGGATTTGAATTCATGTCCTTCTGACTCTATGCTTCCCGTAGCCAACTCTTTAGTGTCATAATCAAGGAGTAGAAACAAAGTCCCCTGATTCTTAGCCCTTTGTTATTTCCAGTTCATTATGTTGTTATTCCATATCCTCAGTGTTGTGGGAGTAAATATTTAACAACTGGCTCACTGAGCCAGACACACTTTTAAGTTTAATCCTGTTGTTCCGTTGTTTCAATTGTGTCTGACTCTTTGTGACCCATTTTTCTTGGTAAAAATCCTGGGTGGGCTGCCATTTCCTTCAGCTCCTTTTACAGATGAGGAAATTGAGGCAAACAGGGCTAAGTGGCTTGCCCAGGGTCACACAGCTAGTAAGTGTCTGAGGCTGGCTTTGAAATCATTTTACAGATGAGGAAGTTGAGGCAAACAGGGTTAAGTGGCTTGCCCAGGGTCACACAGCTACTAAGTGTCTGAGGCCAGTTTTGAACTCATGAAGAGAAGTCTTCCAGACTCCAGATCCAGTACTCTCTCCATTGCATCACCAACTGCCCCAAGTTTAATCTATATTATTACTATTTTCTCTATCACTATCTTAAGTCAAAACAATTAACAAAATAAATCAAACTCTGATTTGTAGTTTGCCTATTTCCAAGGAGTAAATGCCCACACAGAAATTTAACAGTCAGCATGAGCCAGTCCAGGCTGGTTATTTTGAGTTTTAGAAAATGTGTATCTAGAGATAGCAGCTCCAAAACCTCTCCTTGGTCTTCCCGCCTCCTTAAGGCATTGTTCCATCTCTCTCCATTTTCCTACTATGCAATACTTACAGCCTCTATTTCTTCACCACCCACCCATCCAGTCCTTTGTAGTCAGGCTCACATTTAAACAAACCATTCTACCAAAATTACTCTCTCCCAGTTTACTAATGACATCTTGACCACTCAAATGAAACTGGTCTCTCTAAGGTTACCAAAAAAAATCTCTTAATGGTTGATGGTCTTTTCTCCATCTTCATGTTTCTTGATCTCTGTAACTTTTGACATTATTGGCTATGCCCTGTTCCTTCTTTCATGTTCCGTCCTTCTTTGGCTTCTGTGTAATTGATCTTTCCTTGTCCTCCTCCTCCACTTCTGAGCACCAACTTTCAGTCTCATTCGCTAGATCTTCCTCAATGTCCCATCTTCTAACTATGGGGTCCGCTAAGGCTCTGCCCACTGCTCGTGTCTCTAAATTTTCTCTTGCTCGTTTTATTAGCTCCCAATGATTATCTCTATGGAGATGACTCCCACCCTTTAAAACCATCCCTAATCTCTCTCCTGAGCTCTATCTCCACCAACTGTTTGCTCAATATCTGTACCTAGGTGTTCCATAGGCATTTCAAACTCAACATGGCCAAAGTGGAATTCATTGTTTTCCGCTAAAGCTACTTCTCCAATCTTTCCTATTTCTGTTAAGAGCTCCACCATCCTTCTGGTTAGGAATGTTTGCAATACCAGAACAGTTCTTAAATCTTCACCCTCCCCTCACCACTATCTGAGCTTATCTATTGCTCACTTGAATGGATTCTCCTACCACATCTTTTTGCATGTCCCCTTCTCTCTGTTCATACAACAAACACTGTAATTCAGCCCTTCTAACCTGTCATCTAGACTTTTGAGAACACGTCTTAATAAGTCTCCCTGCCTCAAGCTTCTCCCCTTCCCCACCCATCCCTCATGTAGCTGCAAAAGAATCTTCTAAAGCAGAGTTCTTAGTATGCGAATTATTTTCTCAAAGAACTTTGACAGTTTCCCTCTTGCCTATAGTATAAAAAACAACCTTCTCAGCTTGGCAGTTAAAGCCCTTCACAATCTGGCTCCATCATTCAACTTTCTAAATAGCATCACCTCTCTGATGTCTTGGTCCTCTTTGAGAACTAAGGACAAACAGCAGCCTCTGTGAGTAGAAATAAGAGGTGCCCCACTGGGGACCTAACTGGAACTCACAAGTTGGGCAACACAGCTCTCTCTTTTTCTTTCCCTTCCTTCCTTCCTTCCAATCTCTCTCTCTCTCTCTCTCTCTCTCTCTCTCTCTCTCTCTCTCTCTGTCCCCCTTTCCTTCACTTTGTCCACATAGAGTATCATACCCTTACCTGGGGGTGCTCTGCCCAAAGGAATATAAACTTTTATTTTTGACACTTTTTTTTCTTTCTTTTTTTTCTTTTTCTTTACCTTAACCCAAATCATTGATTGACCCACAATAGGTCCCAGACCAAGCCCCAGACCCTGGGCAAATCACTTCACCCTGTTTGTCTCAGTTTCCTCATCTGTAAAATGAGTTGGAGAAGCAAATGGCAAACCACTCCGGTATCTTTGCTAAGAAAACCCCAAATAGGGTCACAAAGAGTTGGGCCCAACTGAACAGCAATATAACTTTAAATAATTTTATATTTTCCCCCAATTACATGTAAAAACAATTTTTACATTCATTTTTTTTAAATTTTGAGTTTCTGATTCTTCCCCCCCTTCCTTCCCTCCCTCCTCATTGAGAAGGCAAGCAGTTTGATGTAAGTTATACATGTTCAGTCATGCAAAACATATTTCCATGAACAACTTAACTTTCAGTGAACATCTAAAAGACTTTAAATACTTCACACTAGTAGCAAAGCAGTAACTTTTTTTTCCTAATATATTATACAGAGGATTAATGGGTTGAAAATGAAAGGAAACTTGGCCTCATAAGATCTTTTTTATTTAAATTAGGCAAAGAAGAATAAGAAGTTAGATTTGTATAATGCTTCAACATCCACTTAATTCTTTTTTGCCACAACCCTGTGAGTAAGGTAGTAGAAATATTATTATTCCTATTTTACAGAAGAAAAAACTGAGGATCAGAGATGTAAACTGACTTGCCCAGAGTTGCACAGATATGACCCCATGTCTTCTCTGACTCCAGATCCACTGTTCTTACCATTCTACATCCCAAGCTACTTCAGTTATTAGTGTGTACAAAGTTCTCCTGCTTCTGCTCAGTTCACTTTGCATGAGTTCATATAAGCCTTCACAGGTTTTTTTCTGAAACCATCTTGCTCATCATTTCTTATAGCACAATAGTATTCCATTACATTCATATACCACAACTTGTTCAGCCATTCCCCAATTGATAGGCATCCACTCAATTTCCAATTCTTTGCCACCACAAAAAGAGCTGCTATAAATTTTTGTACAGATAGATCCTTTTCCCTTTTCTTTGATCTCTTTGGGATATAGACCTCGTAGTGCTATTGCTGGGCTAAAGGGTATGTAGAGTTTATAACCTTTTGGGCATAGTTCCAAATTGTTCTCCAGAATGGTGGGACTAGTTCATAGCTCCACCAACAATGTATTAGTGTCCCGATTTTTCCACCTCCCCTCCAGCATTTTTTATTATCCTTTTGGGTCATGTTAGCTAATCTGATAGGTATGAAGTGGTGTCTCAGCGTTGTTTTAATGTGCATTTCTCCAATCGATTACGATTTAGAACATTTTTTTTCATGTGACTATTGATAACTTCGATTTCTTCTTCTGAGAAATGCCTGTTTATATCCTTTGACCAATTATCAATTGGGAAATGACTCTTATTTTTATAAATTTGTCTCAGTTCTTTAAATATTTGAGGAATGAGACCACTATTAGAGAAAATTGCTATAATTCCCGCCCCCTCTGGTTTCCTGTTTTCTTTCTAATTATTGACTACATTAGTTTTGTTTGTATAAAACCATTGTAATTTCATGTAATAAAAATTATTCATTTTACTTCCCATGATTCTCTCGAACTCTTATTTGGTCATAAACTCTCCACTTATCCATAGATCTGACAGGTACGTTTTTTCCATACTTTACTAATTTAGTTATGATGTCACATTTTATGTCCAAATCATTTATCCATTTTGATCTTAACATATGGTGTCTATGCCTAGTTTCTTCCAAACTTTTATTGTTGTTTAGTCAGTCATTCAGCTCTGTCTGACTCTTTGTGGCCCCATGGACCATAGCATGCCAGACCCTTCTATCCTCTCTAAAAGATATCTCTTAAAGGCTGTCCAAATTTGTGTTCATTGTTTCCATGACAATATTTATTCATCTTACCTTCTGTCATCCCATTTTCTTTTTGCCTTCAATATTTCCCAGTACCAGGGTCTTTTCCAATGAACCTTGTCTTCTCATTATGTGACCAAAGTATTTAAGCTTCAGCTTGAGTATTTGACCTGTAGCGAACAGACTGAATTAATTTCTTTAAGTATTGACTGATTTGATCTCTTTGCTGGTACTGCTAGGCCACCTTCCTTCACATTGTTTGTTTTCATGGATTCCCTTTATATTCTTGACCTTTTGTTCTTGCAAATGTATCTTTTTACTATTTTCTTCTAACTCTACAAAAATATTCTTTTGGCAGTTTGATTGCTGTAGCACTGAATAAGTAAATTAACTTAGGTAGAATTGTTATTTTATTGTATTGGCTCAGCCCACTCACGAGCAATTATTATTTCTCCAGTTGTTTAGATCTGATTTTATTCGCATGAAGAATGTTTTATAATTGTGTTAACATAATTCCTGGGTTTGTCTTGATAGGTAGACTCCCAAGTATTTTATATTGTCTACAGTTATTTTTAAATGAAATTTCTTTTTTGTCTCTTCCTACTGGGTTTTGTTAGAAGTATATAGAAATGCTGGTGATTTATATGGATTTATTTTATATCCTGCAACTTTTCTAAAGTTGTTAATTTCAACTAGTGTTTTTTTTTTAGTTGATTGTCTAAGGTTCTCTCAGTGTGCCATTGTTATCATCTGCAAAGAGTGATAGTTTTGTTTCCTTGTTTACTATTTGTATTCCCCAATTTCTTTTTTTTTTATCTTATTGTCATAGCTACAGTCTCTAATACAATATTAAATAATAGTGGTAATAATGGATATCCTTGTTTCACCCCTTATCTTATTGAGAAGGCTTCAAGATTATCCCCATTACTGATAATGAGTGCTCTTGGTTTCAGAAAGATACTACTCGTCATTTTAAGAAAGGTTCCATTGATTCTTATGCTTTCTAGAGTTTTTAAAAGGAATGGATGCTGTGTTTTGTCAAAAGCTTGCATCTATTGATATGATTAATTATACTTAAAGTTTTCCTAATATTGAACCAACCATGCATTCCCAGTATAAATCCTGCCTGGTCATAATGTATGATTTTTGTGATATATTGCAGTATTCTCCTTGCCAGTATTTTAATTGAACATTTTGTTTCACTACTCATTAAGGAAATTGTTCTGTAGTTTTCTTTATCTGTTTTTGTTTTCCTCGTTTAAATATCAAAATTGTATTTGTTTCATAAAAAAATTAGTAGGAAATAATTTATACAATATTGGGATTGATTATTCTTTAAAGGTTTGGTAGAATTCACTTGGAGATATAGCTGCTTGAAGTATTTTCTACTCAACCTGGGAGCTGTGGAAATTTGGTTATAATATTCTTGGGAGTTTTCATTTTGGGATCTTTTTCAGGAGGTGATTATTAGATTCTTTCTCATTTCTATTTTACCCTTTTGTTCTAGGATATTGTTTTCCTTTATAATTTCTTGAAATATAATCTCTAGGTTCCTTCTTTGATCTTGGCTTTCAGTAATCCAGTAATTCTTAAATTATCTGTCCTTCATCTGTTTTCTGAATCAGTTGTTTTTCCAGTGAGATACTTCACATTTCTTCTATTTTTTCCATTCTTTTGGCTTTGTTTTATTGTGTCTTGCTATCTCATGGCGTCATTAGCTTTCACTTGCCCAATTCTAATTTTTAAGGAATTATTTTCTTAGTAAGCCTTTGCACCATTTGGCTAATTCTACTTTTTAAGGAGTCATTTTCATCAGTGAAGTTTTGTACCTCTTTTTCCATTTAGTCAATTCTGTTTTCTGAGGTGTGTTTTGGGACCTTTTTTACCAAGCTGTTAATTGTCCTTCCATAATTTTCTTCTCTTGCTCTCATTTCTTTATCTAATTTTCCTCTACCATTCTTACTTGATTTTAAAAATCATTTTTAGAAGAATTCTTAATGGGCTATGTCCAATTCACATTTTTTTTCTTTGTAGCATTGCTTATATGCTTATAGCTATTTTGACTTCATTGTCTTCTTCAGAGTTGTTGTCTTGATCTTCTCAGTCACCATAGTAGCTTTATGATCAGGTTCTTTTTTATGATTATTGTTTGCTTGTTTTTCTAGCCTATTTCTTTGAATTTATGATAAAGTTGGACTCTCTTCATAGTGGGGGAGGGAGGTTGGGAGAATGGTTACTATCCCAAGCTTCAGACATTTTCATACTGCTATTTTCAGGGATAGCCCTGGGCATTTGGAAGCTTTTGGTTCTTCAAAGGTGATGTGATCTGACGAGAGGTATAGACACAGCTCTCCTTTTCTGCACTATGGTTCTTGCATAGGAAGGGCTCCTAATCCCTTGGATTGCAATTGATAGGGCTCCTCAGGTCCCCTGCTCCCTCTTGACCAAAAGTGTTCTTCTCTGCCCTTGAACTATGACCCAGAAGTGGTATGGACCACTTACATGTTGCCAAACAACATCTGTCCTATGTCCAGTATAGCACAAGGGTCCCCTGTAATCTTCTTGCCAATTGTTAGGTCCCCTCACCATATTTTGACTTGAGAAGTCCTGAAACCTAGTCTTACCTCTGGTGTTTCATCCATGTGGGCTCCTCCCCCATGTCACCGATCTCTCTTTCTGACCTCCTAAATTGTCTTGGGCTAGAAGAATGTCTCACCTTGATCTTTTGCTGGTTCTATCACCCCAGAATTTGATTTGAGGTATTATTTTAAACTTGTTTGAAGGGGAATGTTGGGAGAGCTCAGCTAAATGCTTCCTCTGTGCTGCCATCTTGGCCATATCTCCAGGAGTAACTCCATGTCTTTTCCTGATATTTCTTTTTTTTAATTTAATTTCATTTGCTTTTTGCCTCAAAATATTTCTTTCCCTTCCCTTCGAGAGAACCATCCTTTGTAGCAAAGAACAGAAGAGAAACAGAGGAAAATAGAAACTATTTTACATAACAAACCATTACATAGCCTGAATCTGACCATATATAATGTTTCACACCTGTAGCCCCCCACCTAGTCAAAGAAAGGAAAGATTTTTCTCATCTCTTTTTCAAGGTCAAACGTCTTCATTTCAATTATAGAATTTTCAACTCTTATATTCCTATCACAGATATAAAGAAACAATGTATCATGAAAGATATTCTATTATTCTTTAACTCCCCACCCCACAACAAAAAAGAAATGCTTATAATCTTTGATTTAAGTGGCATAAACAAACAAATATGGTGTAAGCTTCAGGACTGAGCAGCTGTAAATCACAGGAAAGATTCTGTCTTCCTTTCAATGAACTGTATTTTTCTTCTTGGGTTTTTAGAAAGATTCCCAAAGTCTCCTCAAAAACTTGGATGCTGATGTACATCTTTATGAAACTGACTCACCACCAAGAGAGAAGAGAAAGGAAGACCAAACACCCACGGAAGAGGGAATTCTTGGTGTAAGTCTTTTTCATTTGTAGAAGTATATAATACATCTCCAATGTATAGCCTGACATCTTATAGATTATTAAAGAAAAATCTGTCAGAAAATTTAAAAGGAAATGAATTAGACTTTTTCCCTCTGATAGGGCATTTCTGGAAGGTATTTTAACTCTTTCAAGTGACTAGAATAGTCCTTAATGAATAGTTTCTTAAATATACCCATTTTCTTGTAGAATTGATTTTATACTTGCTCCCTATTAGGAGGGGAAAAAAACAAAAACAAAACAAAGCTAAAGCAAAACATTAATCATTTAAGCCTTGATTATTCAAAATGATAGAAGTTCTGACTTTTACATAATCATTGCCAACAAATAGCATATTTAGCACCCATTCTAAATCTGCTAAGTCAGATGATATACCTAATATAAATTAGACTGACACCTGAGACTTTTTTCTCCACAATTTTATCTTTCTCTAACAAAATTCTAGGAGAGGTTATTAAATGGATAGTTTATAAGTACTCATAAAGTTAAGTGGTGATCATTAGGAGCCATCATGGGTTCAAGAACAAGTCATGCCTAATTAAGCTCATTTCCTTCTTCAGCAAATCAACAGAATGCCTTAAGCAGAGGATACCTGAATTTCAGGGAAAATTGCTTTCTCTCTTCATAATATATGAGATGGATGACAGTATAATTAGGTGGCTTCACAACTTAAAAGAACAGTGGTCATTGGTTTGATATCAATCTAGAGGAAGGTCTACAGTAGAGTGATACAGAGGATAGTCCTTGGGTAAACTTGTATTAGGTAACTGTGGGAAAGTCACAACCTCTGGGAGTCAGAGGCAGCTAGATGTCAGTGGATAGAGCGTCTGGATTCAGGAAGACCTGAGTTCAAATCTGGCCTCAGACACTAGCTGTGTGACCCATCACAAGTTACTAAATCTCTGTCTCAGTTTCCTCATTTGTAAGACAAGCATAATAATAACACTCATAAAAATGTTGGAAAAGATGTGGGAAAATTGGAACGCTAATGCATTGTTGATGGAGTTGTGAACTGATCTAACCGTTCTGGAGAGCAATTTGGAACTGTACCCAAAGGGGTATAAAATGATGCATACCCTTTGACCCAGCAATACCACTTCTAGGTCTATATCCCAAAGAGATCATAAAAACAGGAAAAGGACCCACACATGCAAAAATATTTATAGCAGCTCTTTTTGTGATGGCCAAGAATTGGAAATTGAGGGAATGCCCATTAATTGGGGAATGACTGAACGAGCTGTGTTATGTGAATGTAATGGAATACTATTGTGCTGGAAGAAATGATGAGCCCATGGACATCCTTCAGAAAAACCTGGAAAAACTTATATGAATTGATGCTGAGTGAAGTGAGCAGAACCAGGAGAACATTGTACACAGTAACAGCCACACTGTGTGATGACTGACTTTGATAGACTTAGCTCTTCTCAGCAGTGCAGGGATCTAAGACAACTCCAAAAGACTCATGATGGAAAAAGCTATCCACATCCAGAGAAAGAACCATGGAGTCTGAATGCAGATGGAGGCATACTATCTGTTCTTCTTTTCTTTTGTTGTTTTGTTTTGATTCTTCTTTCTTGTGGTTCCTCCCATTGCTTCTAATTCTTCTTTACATCATGACTAATGTGAAAATATACTTAATATGAATTATAAGTAGAGCCTATATCAGATTGCACACCATCTTGGGGAGTGGGAAGGAGAGGAAGAGGGAGAAAATTTAAAACTCAAAATCTTATGGAAGTGAATGTTAAAAACTGAAAATTAATAAATAAATTGTTTTAAAAAAGAAAAAAAATAGTATTAACATTCATATGTAAGACAGGGATAACATTAACACCTACCTTTCAGGGTCATTTTGAGGATCAAATTAGAAATTTTTAAAGTGCTTTAGCATAGTGCCTGGCACATAGTAGGGTGCTATATAAATGCTACTACTACTATTATTATTAATGGGCAAATTTAATATGGTGAAATTTAATAAGAATAAACATAAAATCTTTTACTTAGGTTTAAACAAAAATATAATAATTGTTAAATACAAGATAAGGTCAGCCTGATGGGGATCAATCCATGAAGTAACTAAGAGCCAAGTTCTAGTCTTACCTAAGACATATGGTGGTTGCATGAGCTTGTATGATAGGTTCTTATAAATGCTTGCTAACTGACTTACCCTACAGTGCCTCAGGAAATTATCTGAAGGTTTCTGTTTCAGAGTAGCTGTGGATGGCATTGGTCTAGTAAAAGATATATATATATATATATATATATATATATATATATATATATATATATGAAGTCCTCCATTTAGGTAAAAAAAAATAATTGAAGGAGTGCCAAATGTGAAAGACATGGCTTAAAAGCAGCTCATATTAGGAAAAAAAAGGCTTAGGTGTGACAAGTTCAATATGGGTCAACAGTGTCCAGATAGAGAGGCTCAAGAGGGCTCAGGATGACATGTGGAATAAGTGTTTTACCCAGGAAAATCTGAGTTCAGTCTTATTTTAGACACTTACTAGATTGTGAGCAAGTCACTTAAAACTCTCTGATCATCAGAGGCAGCCAGGTAGTACATTGGATTGACCAGTGGACCTGGTGACAGCAAGAGTTGAGTTCAAATTTAGCCTTTGACATTTAGTAGCTATAAGACTCTGGACAAATCACTTAATTCCTATCTGCCTCAGTTTCCTCCACTATAAATGGAGGTTAATAATAGCACCTAACTTTCAGGTTTGTTGTGAGGATCAAATGAGATAATATTTCTAAAGTAAATAGCACAGTGACTGACACATAGTAGGCTCTTCAAAAGTTTTCTTCCTCAGTTTCCTCATATCTCCAATGAGGATTTTGTACTCAATGGCCCCATAAGGTCCCTGCCAGTTCTAAACCTATGATTTTTTTTTTTAGGCAACTGGAGTTAAGTGACTTGCCCAGGGTCACACAGCTAGTAAGTGTCAAGTGTTTGGTCTGAGGCCGGATTTGAACTCAGGTCCTCCTGACTTCAGGGCCGGTGCTCTATCCACTGCGCCACCTAGCTGCCCCTAAATCTATGATTCTTTAGGACATCAGTTCAAATCTTTCCAATGACACCTATTAACTGTATGACCTTGAAGAAATCATCTAACCATTCTGAGTCTCAGATTCCTCATCTAGAAAATAGGGTAATAAAACCTGTATAGTACCTACTTCACAGGGCTGCTCTGAGGCTTATACATACAATGATTTGTAAACCTTAAAGCACTGTCAGGTGGCCTGGAAAGTTTGTAAGGCACCTTCTAAACTTGAGGTTCTTCCTAACTTCCTAACTCCTAGTAAGTTCATAAATGAATTATTGACCTCAGCCTGAACCACAGCAAGGTTGAACAGGCTACCTCCCTCTTTTTTTTTTTTTAGAAGAGATTTCTAATCTGTAAGCTATTTATTTTCTCCTAAGAACAACTCCCCAGTAGTGAGCTAATCATTGCAGGACATAAAGTGAAAGGTCTCTGCAGGTTCCTAGGGGTTGATTTGCAGAAATGCCAGTGATTTCCCCTTTCTAAATTCATAACTAAAATGTGGCCCTAAAAATTAGGGGCAGGATGAGATTCACTGGAATCCCATTAGTACCCTCAAGAATGCATCAATCAACATATCTTCATTTCCTGCTGTTCTTTTGAACTAAGGCTGTTTTTATGATTCACTTGGAAACTTCAACAGATCCTGATGTCATTGGTGACCTTCACTTGTGCAGCTTACAGGCCCTGAGAGGTAACACAGCCCTGAACCTGGAGTCAGGGAGGCCTCAGTTAGAATTCCAGCCCAGATAATTACTAGTTGTATAACCCTGACTGATTCTCCCAGTTTCCTCCTCTGTAAAGTAAGGAGGTTGAACCAGACAGCCCCTAAGTTTCCTTCCATTCCCAGATCTATGATCCTCTGATGCCTCTTTGCTTTCTTAACAGAAAAGTTTTAGCCGCATTGAAGAAATGCTGATATAATCTCATTTTTCTATGACCAATTAGTTCCTTATTTATTTATTTTTTTAATGTCTTTTTTTCTGGAAGAGGAGGGCATGTTCTTTTTGTGGAAATATCACACTCACAATGTACACAGACTTAATCGTCTGAGTTACAAAATTACTTTTTAAAAAACTGCATTTACATTCTAATCAGTTTTCTTAGTAATTATATTGTTTATGCTACAAAGGCTTTTAGGAGTTGATGAACATTGAAATGTAGTCTGAAGTAGTATGGTTTATTGGGAAGGGCGCTGGACTTAAAGACAGAAGACCTAGGTTCAAAGTTCAGTTCATACTACTGTGTGACCCTCAGGCAAGTGTGACCTCTCTCTAAAACTCATTTTCCATCTGCAAAATGTGCTTAATAATCCCTGTCCTACTCACACATGCATGCATACATACATACATACATACATACCTACATATATACACATATATATATACACATATATGTATAATATGCACATATATTTATGTACATAAGCAGTTAGGTGGTGCAGTGGATAGAGTGCCAGGCCTGGAGTCAGGATGACTCATCTTCCTGAGTCTAAATCTGGCCTCAGACACTTACTAGCTGTGTGACCTTGGGCAGGTCACTTAACTGTTTGCCTCAGTTTCCTCTTCTGTAAAATGAGCTGGAGAAGGAAATGGCAAACCACTCCAGTACCTTTGCCAAGAAAACCCCAAATGGGATTATGAAGAGTCAGACACAACTGTAATGACTGAGCAATATATACATATATATATACACATATATACACACACATATATACATATATACATACATACATACACATATACATATATATATACACATACATATATCTCAACATATCTGTACACAGGCTTGTATAGATATGTGACTATCTGTCAATATGTATTTGAACACGGCCAATGCAGGAATTTATTATGCTTGACTATACATGTTTGTAATGGATTTTGTTTTTCTTACTTTATGTGTGTGTTAGGGAGGGGGGAGGTA